TATCCATCCAGGATATACGCAGCATACGACAATACAAGTACATCTCAAAAGCGTTAATGCGGTTTTCCAATGTCTGAATGAGTGTCCAACTCTCAGAGCCGTAGAGAAATACTGGAAAGATGTAGCAACGCAACATACGTATGCGCAGTTCGAGGCTTAGATCTCGGCTGGCGAAGAGGGTTTTCATGGAAGCAAAAGTACGTCTGGCCTGTTCGATCTTCGCTAAAATTTCAGTTTTGGGGTCGCAAGCGTCGTTAACTTGGGCTCCTAGATACTTTATGGACGATACTTGTTCTACCACCTTCTTTTTTGAGGACAGTCTTTCCCGGTGTTTTGGAAAATACAACAAGTTTAGTTTTGTTAACATTGATGTGTAATCCGTACTGCATGCTATGTTCAACGATGCAGTCCATCATGTTCTGAAGGTGTAGAATGTTGCCAGCCAGTACTACCGTATCATCTGCGAAGCGAGTATTGTTGATCAGGGTACCATTGATTTTGATACCATCCTCAGCGCTCTCTAGTGCCTTACGGAATACCGCCTCGGAGTAGATGTGGACACACTCCTGCCTGACGCCCTTCCTATTTGCTACTTCATCAGATGTTCCGCCATCCGCTCTAATCTCTGCAGTCTGGTTCCAGTATAACTGGGTGATAATGCGCAGCATGTGAGTTTTAGAGTTTATTTCTTTTCAGGATAGCAAACATAGTTAACATTTCATATTATTGGTTCCTGTTGAATACAACAAGACCGGAAATGGCATTTTCCTTTTAAATGACACTCATTATATTTCAATATTATTTGTTTTTCATAAATAAATATTTTTTTATTTTATGCGTTTGATATGTTTTCAATAATTGACAGTATCATCATTAACAGTAATGGTTGTGTAAAGAACATCAATGGTTTAATGATAACATGCACAAATCAAACTTCATAAGTTTTAAAGTTTTGCCCGGTCTGAAATTAGTTTTCCGCCTTGAATAAGCAAAAATAAAAAACTAAAGGATAAAATATAATAGAAATCGATAAAAACTAAAAGCAACTTAATTAAACTATTAATTAAGCTAACAACTCCACTCATTGTCAAACAAGAAAAAAACCCAGATTAAGTAAAATGAATAGTTCGAAAATTTAGATGCAGTTTCGCTTTTATTATAGCATCGCAGGCTATTCGTTAGCTCATTAATTTCTTCTTTTAGTCAATTGGAACAAGCTGTATCTAAAAAGCGAGTAAATTAAGCTTCGGTTCGTTTCGCTCAAAGAGCTGATTTCAATATTCCGTTCTCGACGTTTATTTAACTTTGTCTCGGTAATACAGTTGCAAAATTACAGCGAAGAACAAAAAGGATGATATTAAAGTGGGATTATATTAATTTCATTTGAAGTTTATTTATATGTTATATTTAAATGTAATCTCATAAATTTCAGCTATACAATATTAAGCTGGATTTCTAAACTCGGGAGTTGACGTTCAGTTGCAGTTGGATGTTTGCGGCAGTTGAGTTTTTCAATATTTTTGAATTTATAAATTGTCAGTTTCGGTTGTAGGTTAGGTTTGGAATTGTAAAAATTTCGAACGTTTTACTTATATACAGGGTGGCCCATCGAAAACGTTCCGCAAGGCATAACGGCCAGGCTAATTTTTTTTTCAGAAAATTCAAAAACACGTCAATTTTGTTTGTGAGGGGGACAACTTTTGCCCCAAAAATGATTGCAAAATCTTCAACCCTCTAAGCGGGGGTGTCACCCCCCAATTTTTTTCAAATGGGAAGAGGGGTCAAGTGGTAGCGTAATGAAAAGGGCTTTCTATTCTCTATACTTTCCCGCTTCGTTTTTGAAAATCGGTCGAGTCATTGAGAAAATATGAAGGATTGAAATTTGAAAAGTTTATTTAAACATTTATCAGAGTAAATGATAAGGATAAATTCCTTCGACCAATTTGCTGTTTTTTCTTATTATTTCTAGATGTTTACGCATTTTTTCCCTTGCCACAAGGTTGAACGATCAGGTGCGGTAGTTGCTAGATAGTTGTTCTGTGACTTGTGCGTTGAAGTTCTTCTCAATATCGTTAAACTTTTTAACAATTATGGTGTACTCATTTGCAGAAAAAGTGGAAATAATCGAACTTTATTTTAAAAATAATGAACATGGCAATCGGGTTGCGCAGATATTCAATGAACGCCATCCTGACAAACACTGAGTTAGTAGCAAAATTTCGCGAAACTGGTTCCGTTATGAATAAAAAGAGGCAGAGTCCTGTAATCCTGTAGAAAATGAAGCTATGGAGGTATTCGTATTGGGCCAAGTTACCACGGATAGTACGCTGAGTACAAGAAAATTAGCCAATGAGACCGGCGTGAATAGTACAAGCGTCCTAAGTATATTAAAAAAATACCAGTTTCCATCCATTAGTTCCACTCGCACAAAATTCAGTGGGCACAAGAACTCAACGAAGACGTTTTAAAATAAAGTAAAATAAAGTTTATTTTTAAAACAAAGTTAACATAAATAAACATAATTATTGTTAAAAAGTTTAACGATATTGAGACGAACTTCAACGCACAAGTCACAGAACAGCTATCTAGCAACTACCGCACCTGATCTTCAACCTTGTGGCAAGTGAAAAAATGCGAAAAACATCTAGAAATAATAAGAAAAAACAGCAAATTGGTCGAAGGAATTTATCCCTATCATTTACTCTGATAAATGTTTAAATAAACTTTTCAAATTTCAATCCTTCATATTTTCTCAATGAGTCGACCGATTTTCAAATACGAGGCGGGGAAATATAGAGAATAGGAAGCTCTTTTCATTGCGGCGCCACTTGACCCTCCTTCCTATTTGAAAAAAATGGGGGATGACACCCCCGCTTAGAGGGTTGAAGATTTTGCAATTATTTTTGAGGCAAAAGTTGTCCCCCTCACAAACAAAATTGACATGTTTTTGGATTTTTTGAAAAAAAAATACCCTGGCCGTTATGCCTTGCGGAACGTTTTCGATGGGCCACCCTGTATAAGAATTGCTTTTAGTCGCCATTGATTTCGTTCATTCCAGTTTCCGTCACGCAGATCCCTTGAGCTCATCTCCTTCTTGACACCCTCCATCCAGTTTGTCCTTGGCCTTCCCCGTTTCCTTCTCTTTTGTTGAAGCCAGTTTAGTACCTTCTGAGGCAGTCGCGTGTTGTCCATCCTTCTCACATGTTCATACCACTTCTGTTGGGCACTCTCTATTTCCTCTACTATAGTTTTTTGTCTACCCATTTTGTCCCTGATTGTTTCATTTCGTACTCTATCCAGCCTTGATGTTCGTGCTGATCTCCTTATCGCGTCCATTTCTACCGCCAGTAATTTTCTTTTGTTATTATCTGTTAACCTTCATGTTTCCGCCCCAAATAACAGATTGCTCTTGATTATCGCATCATAAATCCTTAGTTTTCTGTCTTTACCTATTTCGTTACTCCAGAGTATATTATTCAGACATTTTATTGCATTTCTGGCCTTGACTATTCTCGAGCTTATTTCGTTGTCGTCTTTCCCGGATTTTCACTTTCGATTTAAAAATACTTTTGATATTTTTCAAAAAAAAGTTCAAACATAATAATCCAAAATTGCGCAAAATATAAACTTTATATAAACAGAAATAATAATGAAACAAAAATAAGGGTCATTTTCCAATGCATCTCTTTTCTGTGCTTCACGTGATTGACAGGCGCTTACTCATTGGTTGCCGTTCCAACTGCCTAACGTCGCGAACTGCCGACTTAAATATTGACCATCTCTCAACTTCCCTGGGAAAAATTCTGGAACTTCGACATAAAAACGTTACGCTTTCAAAGCGGTAAGCAAAGAAAGTATTCAATTATCGGAACGCCAAGCAGTCGATTTTGGTATTCTCGTTGCCGTGCGAATCGTTTTCTGGATACGCGTTGAGCACATATTGGCAGCATCGTAATTTCTTAGGATAAAACGATGAAAAATGTCAATGTTACGTGAATTTCATAACCTATTGTTGAGTTATGTCAACCTATTTTTCTATGGATATGTCATTATTCTTATGATACGAGGAAAATGAAGTTGAAGACGCTTCTCAGCATTTTCGATGTTTTGAACAATAATTTATAGCTGCCAAGTCGTAAATTATCAATTACCTAATTAAGGTATTAGTTAATAAGAAATAGTTTTCACCAGAGAGCAAGAGAACAGTTCGACAAGCAAAACTATCCTTTAAGGTAGCCGATTTCAAATCGCTTAGTGCAATCAGTAAAGACGCTAAGCGCGTCAGATGAGAATACCCAAATCGGTAGTTAAGTGCACCCAGCGAAAATTTACGTTATAATATATATTATATTTAAGTTTCAGAATTCGGATTCTGAACGTAAAACCAACTGCCAACATTTCGACCAACTGAATTTATAAATGCGCGCAATCATTTCATAGCGCTGAACATACTGAACGTTAACTGAATTTAAACTGCTGACTTTATAAATCCAGCTTTAGAGCGTAGGTCTAAAAAACTACAGTTGGTAAGTATCTCAATAAAGTAGATTTTTAAAAAAATAACTTGAAATAAAAAACTCTTCTTAAAATTTCAAGAACATATCTCGTTTGTATATAAACTTTGCAGATTTTTTTCAGGATAGAAGACATAGTTAAAAAAATTATATTGGTATATTGGTAGTATTTAGTGGTACTTAGTACTTAGAGTCTAATACAATAAAACCGGCTTTGTCTTTTTGCTTTTAAATGACACTCTATATGTTAATATTAATTGTTTTTCTTAAAAAAAAAATTCATGTTATGTAGAAAAGTGCCGTTGATATATTTCCATTTATTGGCAAGGGTTATTAGATATCTTGTCATCTTTAACATTGACATATAAGTCGTGTCCGGCCAGAAAGAATTTTCTTCTGTTATTAAGGAGACATATTTTGAGGTCTATGTTTTGGGCTCACTTTTTCAACAAAAACAACTATAATTATTAAAAAATCATGACTCACCGATATTTCTGATCTCCTGCCGTATGCTCCTCTTGGCCTTCGCTGTCTGCGTTCAAACGTCCTCCGGAGGACGCGGCTGAAGGTACATGCGCCGGTGAGGAATCCTCCTCGGAAGGATTGGCTTCGGAGGCGGTGTCTTCCGAGCCGCAGCTATCCTTGCTCAGTTTTCGCTGTGGAAAACGTAGCGAGAACGTTTTTCGGAATTTTTGTAACACGCTCTCGGCAGTAGGAGCTGAAAAAGAACGATACAGTTAGGACAGTTAGGACACAAAAATGTTGAAACAGAATATGTACTTTCCAAAAAAAATTTTATAGACGTATCTGTTTAAAAAAAAATTCACAGTCCTTTACAAAGATGCAACTGGGGGGGGGGGCATTGAAAATGATGAATAAAAACGTAAATTTATGATTAGTGTTAATATGAGTGTATTACATACATATGTTTAAATAACGAACTTAACAAAAAACAACAGATTTAAAGATTCACTGATAAAGTAGTAATGTTAACATTAAATAAAACATTATCAATAATAATTATGCGATCGCACCTGTCCGTAAAACAAACAAGCAAAAAAACAAAATAACATACAAAACATCAGGTTAACATGATGACAGATCATGATCGATGACAGATAAAGAATTCTTACGGAAAGTTACACTTTACGATACAATTTTTTAACTGTTAAAGGCAAACCCCATTTAAACACAAAACTTTTTAATACCTACTACTGTATCTAAAAGATTTTTTTTTTAAATTACTAAATTCTTAGCCACGCTTCTGTTTTTCTTGGCTGTTGTGCGTCACGTCACAGATTAACATGCCCACGTTTGCACCACAAGGCGATGCTGCAGACCACTAGGTAGACAATTTATGTTATACAACTTGTAGTCAATCTACACTATCTAGATTTTTTTCTTTTAAAATGTGTTCAGATTTTGTAAAAAGTATAAGTCAAAATCGCAAATCTTAAATTTGATATGAGTTTCTTAGTTTTTAACTAATATAGTGGCGAATTACAAAAATTCCTTTTCAATGAAAATTAATGAGTTAAATAAAATAATTTAATAAATTACTAGCTTTTTCCCGCGACTACGTTCGCGTTACACCTCAAATCGTTCATGCATTGATTTAAATGATTTTTTACTTCTTTATAGAGAGCTAGTGAGCATAGATGTTTTTTCTTTTTCATCTTTTTTTTATTAATTAAGAGCACTAATACTCTCTTTATAGGTTATTTTTTATTCTTTGAAGGATAATTGAGGAAAATATATTTCGTTATGATGTCAGTAAATAAACCCTTGTATAAAATTTTATACTGTCTGGTTTATAATGTTATAGTATTGCATTTTCGTACAGCAAACTTTCATTCCCTATTCTACTCCCTAAGTGTATAAATTTCATAAATTCGCTTTATCTTTGTGCCAATTTTTATGTGTATAATCCAGAGGTATTTTCATATAAATGTTTACTAACTTTACCCATTTGGTTGATGAATTTCAAAAATTTCTTCTAATTCTTTTTGTAGGATTTCATTCTTCTAGACCAAATAGTAAGGAATTTTCATACAACAAACTGTTCCGACATAATTTTACTCTCTAAGAGGATGAATTTCCTAAAATCGCTTTGTGTAGCTCATTCACTAATGTCGTTTAAACGAACATTTGTGCTAATCACACCACTGACAATGACACACCACTGACAATGACAAATAATTTATTTCTGGAGGTATTGTGTGTAGGTGTTTTTCAGGTAGTATTTAGTCGTTTTACACAAAGAAATAGCCATTAAGCACTATAAAAAATACTTCATAACAAATCTACACATATATACCTTTCATTTAAAAAAGAATCATCAAGATTGGTGAAGCGGTTTCGGCGGGATGGATGCAACAAAAATACCCTTTGAGCTTTTATATATGTATGGATTAATTATTTTTCCAACATATTTTACTTTGCAAATTTTTATAAATATTCAGACTCGCCAATATCGTAGTCCACCGTGTCCAGCCTGTTTAGCCAAACGTAGGCCGATTCCTCTTCGGCGGCGCGCGGCGCCGTGACCCTGGCCAATGGAAGAGTCTTGAAGACGCTCATCCGCGCATAGTAACAAGTTGACTGCGTAGCGTATTGCGTATTCGATTCTGAAACTTTCTATCTCATGTATAACATGTTACGCAAGTTTATTATTTTAATCTCGATTTTAATAGATAAATATGTGAAATGCCACCTGAATATCTTCCGCCATGACATTTTTTTACGTTTTTGTTATAGTAAAGTGATTTGTATAAACTTTATTCAATAACTTATATTTTCCTCCATTTGTGATTTTTTAATTTTAAGCGAAAATTAAGTATAACATTTTAGGAAAAAGAAACACTGTAATACCGTATGATCGAATAAAAACGGCGTCAGCGATGGCTATGAAATGAAGATCGCTGTCATTTTATATGTAAAATTATATGGGAAATGTCATCGATCGTCATTTCCAAGCCAACTGGACGCCGTTTTTTTTTCGATCATACGGTATTTAAAAGAATAAGAAGAAATTAGTCTTATTTTGAAAGAAAAATATATAAAAAACTCTTTCTATAGAAAAAAGTCTTTATACTAACCAGAATCCGGTGACATATACGCGGTCTCACCGGAAACATTACTTATTACTTCACATAACTTGAAGAATATCTACTTTTAATAATGAACACTTCAGAAATACACCAGTAAAAACATTTATTATTTGAGGTTAAAACTCGAATGAAATTATAAATATTAGTTACCTATGTTGTTATAGCTTTTATAGGCCTGTTTAACGACTTAATAAGTTACCTAGCGAAAAAATCTGTGCGCATACCTATCACTATTGTTACAGGTTAATTTTTTAAAGAAATATGTTACACAAATTAAAAACGCTAAAATTTTAATGGTATTACTTGTGCATTATTGGCCTTATAATGCAATTAGTTGGAATTATATCTTCTTTAAATATAATTACACTTTTTAACGACTTTTAAGTTAACTAGCAAAAAATCTGTGCACGTACCTACCACTATTGTTACAGGTTAATTCGTTAAACAAATGTGTTACATATTATTCCTGGTATTAGTGGTATTATATTGGAATCAGCTTGGCATTAGTGGGGCATTATATGAGAAATTTTGGTATTTAATTTGTATTTTTGGCATTACTTTGGCATTAGTATACAGACATTTGTCAGCGGTTTACTCCTTGTAGATAATCAAAAAGTTTTTAGATAAAATTTGCTTTTATGTCAGATCATTTCTATGAAAAATTACATTAGATTTTTATTAAAGACGCTGGGTAATTAAAACATTGACTAATAAAGCTTGTCCACTTTAAATAAAGGGTCACGAAATATCCTCCTTGGAGTGTTTGGGTTAAGGGGTGTATAATAAATTAATCCAAACCAATCATGAAAAACCAATCAGGAAAAAATCCAAAACCTACCGTTGTAGGAGGTATAAGATGATTAAACTTATATAATGACAACTACTTATTGGATAACAAATTAATTACTACTGTCAGCTACTGTCTAGGTAGAATATACCTAGAGTACCTACACCTACCTATGATGTAGGTACATTAAAGCTAATTTTGACTTTACGTCTCACTTCGGTGTCACAAGCTGAATTTTTCAGGGATGGAAGTACAGTACATGATATGGGGACCCTTATTCCGAAAGTAGTACAAAATTAGACCGGGTAAAAGGGCAATCATCAAAAATCGATATATTAATACCACCGTATAGAGAAAACAAATACTTATGTTTTGATCCAGTACACAATAAAGTCTTCGTAGGGAGTAATTTTTTATAATTATTTACAAAAAAACATTTCCATTAGCGTTTATGACCAAAAAAACTTTAAACATGAATAACTCATTTCAATCATGCGAAAATTTGGTTTAAAAATAGACTTTTTTTAATATAACTTTCATTTAACGTAAAACGAAGACCTAAATGAAAAAAAGAAACAATTTAAAAGTTTCGCTTATGTCTTGACAAGGTATCAAAGCAAACCCCATATTTTTTGCTTTTAAAATAATAAAGATATATCAATAAACAATTAGCGATGTAATGGTTTTTGCGCGCGCTGGCCGACTGCCGCCGCTGCGCCGAAATTTCCTATACCCTTGTATATATGACGTCATGGTGTGGCAAATGTAGCATTTTAATTCGATTTGGGCTCCCTTATATAGGATAACAGAAACATTTTCAATGTTAAAACTAAAGTGTTCTCGAATATTACGTTATTTATGCATTTAGATTTTTTAAATAGAATTTTTATTCGTTCTTTGTGTTTTTTTTTGCTTCAGACGACGGAAAGAGATATACTTCCCGAAACGTTAAGCATTTTTTTTTGTTCGTTAGGCAAATTTGTTTATCAGCAAACCTAACGGCTGACAATTAGTCGCCGTTGGATTAACGCAGCAGTGTTTACAAAAAATAACTATTTTATTTTGTAGATTTTCTTACAGTGGCGAACTACCCATAAGCCCACGGCCACACAGAAAGCGTTTTTTGCGTTTTTAGCGTGAAGCGTCTTTAGCGACTAAAACAAAATAACAGGATTATATAGGAGTGGCCACACCAAAAGCGTGTAGCGTTCGGCGTGTCTCGCAAAAAACGCAAATGAAAACAAATCAGTTTGTTTTCTGTAGCGTCTTTAGCGTTTTAAAAATAAATTAAATAACATGCATTTTTTTTTCATTTTAGGTTATTATCTAAAAATATTTTTATAAAGAACATCTACTGTTTAGGTAGATTCTATTAAATTTAAATGTTGAAGGAAATGTTTGAAAAAGTGTAGTTTGAAATGTTGAAAAAGTAATAAATTAAAGGAATATTTTCTTACGCGTAAAAAATAGTTTTTTTATGCATAAAAAGTATTTTTTTCTGCGGAAAAAGGCTTTTTTAACAGAAACATATAGTTTTTGACGCGTAAAAACTAGTTTTTTACTTGTAACAAATAGTTTTTTTACACGTAAAAAATATTTTATTTGGGCAAAAAAATTTTTTTTTACCAGAAACAATAAGTTTTTGACGCTTAAAAATTAGTTTTTACGTGTAACAAATAGTTTTTTTACACGTAAAAAATATTTTTTTTTGTGTAAGAAAGGTTTTCTACCAGAAACAATAAGTTTTTGACGCGTAAAAAAAATAGTTTTTTACGTGTAACAAATATATTTTTACACGATATTTTTTTGCGTAACAAAAGG